TCAGCTGCTCGGGAGGCTGAGGCAGGAGAATCACCTGAACCTGGGAGGCAGAGGTTGCAGTTAAGTGAGATTGCGCCACTGCACTCCAGCCTGGCAACAGAATAAGATTCTGCCTCAAAAAAAAAAAAAAAAAAAAAAAAGAAAAGAAAAGAAAAGAAACTGCCACTCAAAGGGTGAAGAACTGAGTGCATTTTTAGCCGAGAAGCCAGGGAGATTCACCTGAGAACTCCAGGATGGAGGAGAGACGTGGGGCACTAGCTTCAGGTAAGGAGCAGGGAAGAGAGGTTCTATTAGGTGATGGGGGCATCAAGTGTATTTGTGGAAATAGGCAAGGAAGGGGAAAAATGTAGATGTCAGCTCTTGTGGTGGCCCGGGCACGTCATGTGGCATGATGATGTCAAGCAGTAGAGTCTGAGGACGCCAGGGCACAGGCAGGCTCTTGGGAGGCAGATCAACACTTCTCTCTCAGCCCACTGATTACACCCCAGTTCTGACCCTTGCCAGTCACCACTCATACAAGGATGCCTGGTAAAGTGAGGCAGCCCTGTGTTCTTCCATCTGATGGCTCTTTCCCATGTCTTCTTCATTTGACTTGCAGTTTGAGAGGGAGGCTAGCTTTTGCCTTCATTTATTCATCCATCTCATGGGGAGACTCATTTCTGTGTGAATCACAGATAGATTTAGAAACACAGCAGTGTCCTAGGGAAAGCCAGGGAATCTGGAACTATAGGGCAAGACCTGTATGTGAGAGGGAGGCACTGTATGCCCAGAGTCCTTTGAGGCCCTCTCAACATATGCACTCCACTTAAAATGACCCGGGATGTGGATGAGAGTCCATTATAAAAAACAGGCCAGGTGCAGAGGCTCACACCTGTAATCCAAGGACTTTGGGAAGCTGAGGCAGGAGGATTGGTTGAGTCCAGAAGTTTGAGATCAGCCTGGGCAGTATATAGTGAGACCTCACGTCTACAACAAAATTTAAAAAATTAGCTGGGCATGGTGACAAGTGCCTGTAGTCCCAGCTGTTCTGGAGGCTGAGCCAGCAGGATCACTTGAGCCCAGGAGTTCAAAGCTGCAGTGAGCAGTGATTGCACCACTGCACTCCAGCCAGAGTCACAGAGTGAGACTCTGTCTCAAAAACAAACAAACAATACACACAAACCAAAAACCCCCACAATACACAAAAGACCAACAAAGACTGAAAGCACACCACACCACCAGATGCCCAAGTTGACATAATGCTAGCTTCATGGCCGGGGATCTTCTCTCTGACACAAAGCAGAGGAGTGCTGGGACCCAGGGAGAGACCCAGCATTGGCTAAATTGTAAGTAGGGTAGTAATGTACCTGTGTGTTTCATGGAGCAGACGGATGTCAGGGCTAGAGCAATTCTTGCGAAAAAAGGAAGACTGGGGAGAAGGCCTGAACCTCTTTCCTCTGCACCCCTTATTTTCTGTCACCTCTTCTCCCAACTCTTCATGAAAGCTCATGGTCAAGTATATATAATTCAAATATATACTCTTCCAAATACAGAGTCTATTATCTCTATATTTTGTTCACCATGTGGTATGAATGACTAAAGTCTACAGAGGAGGAAGCTTGCCAGAAACAGGACAGAGCCTCACAGCTAGTACAGGCTGGAAGCAGGGCTTGCACAGTTCCGTGCCGCCAAGTCAGGTGTTTCTCGCCCTGCACATTCTACAGCTTCCTCTTTCTAAATGCAGCTTGGCTTCCAGTTAGGCCAGGGCTGCATGATGACATCTCCAGAACTACAACGTTCAGGAACTTTACGAAAGAATCTGAGAAGCAACAAGTCATTCTGAGCCTCCTGGCCTGCCCCTCGGGAGAGGCCCAAATGAGCTGCCACTCCTCTGCTCCTGGGTCGCCATGTTCTTGCCTTTCAAAGACAAGAGCTGTTCCCTTCCTGATAGCAGTGTGGCCCAAGCGCTGGGTTATACTGTCTGGGATGCCACCCTCTCCCAGCAGACCCTCCCTAGAGGTCTAGGAGCTGGACTGGCTGCTGCCTTCTGACATCCAGGTTGGCTCCTTAATCACTATGCCCTTTCGCTGCTGTACACAGGGGAGCAGCACCCGGGGAGGGGTGGAGGCACAGACTCACACTGCCACACTGGCTTCCCAAGGGAATGGCTACCTCTGCCATGGCCTCAAAGGCAAGGAAGCAAAAGGCCACCTATAAAACCATGATGTAGGGATCAGGAGGCTGCCACTATCACTGCTGCAACCCCTACGTCCATAAATACCTCTCAGCATACATGAATCTGGTGACCAACACTACCAAGCTGTTGCAGTAGAGAACCCACTGTCCACCCCACCTGTTCCTGCCTCAAGTGTCTCTGACCTTGCTGGGCAGCAGAAAATATCAAAGAGCAGGAAGGGAGCTTCATCTCACGCTCACTTTCCAGATCTTTCCAATTCATCTGTTGGCAGAATATAATTCATGGCTAGACCCTTGGCCGCAAGAAAGTCTGGGAAATGTGGCTTTACATGTTCTGGCCACCGCAGTCCAAGGAAGAATGTAAGATGCTAAGTGCCAAACCACCACATCTACCAGGTATGGGGAGAAAAAAATATTGAATGCTTTTTAAATAATAAATAGTCCAAAGATTTTCAACTGGCCTAACATTTAATAATTTTTTTTTAATCATGTCTTTGAAGATTATGGGCATATTCGCATTTGCCAAGAATTCTCTTAACCATCAAAAGGAAACTTCTTTCCACTGGTATTGCCATTGCAAAGTTCAGAGGGTTTCTCATCCATTCAGAGGTGTATGCATATATATATATATAAATATATCTTATACATATGTATTATATATAATAAAGGTGCATATGTAATATACATAAATATATAACATAAGTGTATATATATTTATGTATATATGTACATAGATGTATATATGTATATGTAGGCATATATATCATATATACAGGTATATTAAATATGTATAAAATATATAGATATGTGTATCTATATAAAATGTATGTATATTTTATGTATACACATGGATATGAATGCTGAGAGGCTAAGTAAAACATACATTATATATACACATATCTATATATTTTATGTATATACTTAACATATTATATATGTACATATCTATATATTCTATATCCTATCTATATATCCTACATAAATGGCCATACCTATATGCTATACATATATACTTCTATATATAGATGTGTGTACATAGTATATATATCCTAAAAATGATTTTTTATTTTTAAATTATAGAAATCACATAAGTATTATTTGAAGTCTGAAAAATAAAGTCAAAGCAGTTGCCTGTAATCCTCCAGTGCTAGCGCAGTAACCATACACGCTTTCCCTGCGCACATTTACATCTTTGTGAATGTAAAGGTTATAGAATTTTGTTTTGTTTTCTCACCTAACCTTATGTTATAATCTTTGTCCATGTTGTGTAATGTAAATTCCACTTTCAAAGGCTGCATAATATTTCACTAGTATTATGCAGGCATCATAATTTCCTTAGCCCTTCCCTTCTGGTTGAACATTTAGGTTGTTTTCAATGATTTGCTGCTATAAGGGATGCTTTGAAGAAGAGCTTCATGTGTATTTGGGTTTTTGTCATGTACCCAGAAGTGAGGCAATGGGTTCTTATACACTGCTTAAAGGACATCCACTTAAAAATAAGGATCAACAACTTCGGATCAATATTTCTTAAAAATGGCCTTTGACAAAAGTAGTTTTCCTTCTAGACATCACAGAGATAGCTAAGTGAAAACACAGAGCCTGTTTTCAGTTATCACATCCTTAGCACTCATCTTGCCAGCTACTATCTGCAGCTACCAAAATTGGAGAAACAGTGCCCTTGGCTCCGAGGCCTCTATTGACCTCTACTGATGCTCACATTACTGTATCTCAAATCCCTAAGAGCTGCCTGGGATGCTGATCAGGGTGAGGGCAGAGAGCAGGCTCAGCATCTTCAGGGTTTTCCCCACCCTTTCATATCTCAGGTCCCAGCCTTCCTGACCAGAAGCCTTGTCTAGATAAGGCAGGGAGGCCCGGGTGCCTAGAAGTTGATCAGCCCAAGTCATCTTAAGCTCTGGAACATGCAGTTTAGACGAACACTTCCAGAGGCAGACATTTCCCTCTCCTACTTTCTGATTTCTCCATCTTCCCCCAGACTGGAGCAAAACAGTATTAAAGCAGCCTGTGTTAATGGAAGAGGCCAGCTTAGGACGACTTTTAAGAAGTAGGTGGCCACAGTCTTAAGAGAGGCAGGGGCAAGGCTGTAAGATTTTACTCTCAGCCAGTTCCACACTCCTACTGTGAGACCAGGCCTCTACAGACCTTCCGGGCATATCCAATCCAAAGAAAATTTCCTGGAGGTGTCGAAAGGGGCTCCCTCCTGGTCACGCCTGACAGCCTTGCTGGGTCCAGGCCAGGGTGGGTTCGTCCTCTCGGTAAGAACAAGAGGAACGAATTTAGCTTTGCATTATGTATTTTAGTTGAGAGAAACAATTTCGAATGAATGGGGGTCTCTCCCACAAAAAGTCTAGAACGGGACCCTGAGTTTTAACTTCAGGCCTTAGGAACGCCGAAGCTCGCTGGGCAATTCTGTTTGCAAACTCACCCGCCCCGGGGACGGATTTTCCTCGAGCCACTGTCATCCATGCCTCCAGCTCTCGGCTTACCCTACTGCAGCCCCTCCCCAGTGACCTCCCCTGCCCCTCGCGGACCAGCCCCATCCTGATAGTACAACTTCCCGGGACACCCCACGAATCCTCTCGCCCCCGTCCGGTGGCTTGGAAATTTGCACGGGACGGTGACGTCACACAGGGAGGCGGGTCCCCACTGTCCCGCACACCAATGGTGCGGCGGCCGCCGGCCTCTTGGTTCACGGCGATTGGTGTCTCGGGCCGCTGCGCTCCACCCCAGCCCGCCATGGCGTCAGGCGCCGCGGTCCCGGGGAGGTGGCTCCCACTTTAAGAAGTGAAGTTTTGCGCCCCCTCCCCCTCCCTGCCCACCTCCTGCAGCCTCCTGCGCCCCGCGGAGCTGGCGGATGGAGCTGCGCAGCGGGAGCGTGGGCAGCCAGGCGGTGGCGCGGAGGATGGATGGGGACAGCCGAGATGGCGGCGGCGGCAAGGACGCCACCGGGTCGGAGGACTATGAGAACCTGCCGACCAGCGCCTCCGTGTCCACCCACATGACAGCAGGAGCGATGGCCGGGATCCTGGAGCACTCGGTCATGTACCCGGTGGACTCGGTGAAGGTGAGGCGCGGGGGTACTTCGAGGACGCAGCCAGAGGAGTACGAGTGCGCGCGCGCGTTTGCATCCCGCGCGCCGGCAGCCTGGGGCCAGTGCCCCGAAACTGCGCTCTCCCAAGGACCGCCGCTGGCCGGGGTCGCCGAGGGAGCCGCTGCGCGGAGCCAGAGCGCCGCGCCTTCCGCCGATCCCGCGTGGGTGCCCGGCCCGCGCCCCGCTCGGCGCCCCGCACCGCCCGCTGCTCCCACCGCGTGCCGGGCCCCGGCAGCTGGCTGCGCTGCGGCCGGGGAGGCGGAGTGGCGAGCACCGCTGGCTTCGGCAGCGACTGGGCTCCCGGGGGACGCGATCGATGCAGCTCTGCACAGTCTAACCACGCTGGCCGTTCGGGCTGCCCGGGGCCGCTCACACGTGCGCGGTTTCCGAGGGAGCTCCCGGGGGGAAGCCCTCACCACGCTCGCGCTGGGAAACGTGTGGCCCTGGCCGGGCCGCGCGCCCTGAGGATTAGGTGTGTGGCTGCTACTCCCCGGGTTATTTCGGGGACTTGGGGCCGGCAGGACTTCTCTCGACTCGTGGCAGCTCTTTTGGGGATACCGGTTCGGCAACGGCCGGTGGGATCCCCTTTCTAAGGGTTCCTGCACTTCTTTCCCCGACTTTGGGTCACTGAGCCGCCGGGAGGCAATGACATTTGCCTCTCCTTTTGCTTGCAGGGAGGTGAGTGGGCTTGTGCCTTAGAGCCCTTGCTATGGATTGTGTGATAGGCACTCAGTTCCCTTTAAACCCAGTCCTTCACCTGCTCAGGTAGTTTTAACTGCATTCCTTTAAGGAGGCAGCTTTAGCAGGTGGGTTTTTCCTGGTAGACTGAGAGCTGCCTTCTGCCAGCCTGCCCAGAACACCCCAGGGCCAGGGGATAGAGTGGTGCCAGAAGTAGTGCCAGTATTGGCGGTCACACATTGCACTTTTATAGGCATAACTCATCTAATTCGTGCAACAGCCCTGGAGGTTAACAACGGAGAAACTGAGGCACAGAGAAGGGAACCGATGACCTTGCCCGGGCTCCTACGCCACCTCCAATCCTCTGGCTGCAGCTGCAGTGTGGTTTGGGGGATTCCGAGGCCTCACTAGGTGGCAGTTAATTTTGCAAGGCAGGTCCCACAGAGGCACCCACAGCAGCTGTATCTTGTTGCTGATGCGGAGCCTGCATGAGCAAGTATGAAGGCCGGAAGGTCCAACTCAGAGGATTTTCTCCACTCCGGGCAGCTTGCTTGGAGCTGGCAGTCAGTGTCTGGACGGGCACAAGTCCAGTGGGGAAAGACATGGGCTTCCAAGGTGCTGCTGGGCCTGAGCCGTGACCCATCTGTCCCTCTAATGTCCCAGTGGGGAATTAGAGTAATGGCTCTCATCACCAGGAAAGACACTGGACTGATGCCAGGTGTCATTTGTATAGGAAAGAATCCTTCAAATGTAATAAAATTCTCCATGATTGAAGCTGTTGTCTCAAGTGCTCTGGGCAGAGTCTGCGGAAGGTTAGGAGCAGGGAGGTGTTATTTGAACAGGCCTTAGTCCTTCTGTTGTCTTGAGATGAACGTTCTGTTTGGGAACCCCACAGTGAATTCAGTTCAGAGTCTCTTTTTACCTTATTTTTAGCGTGAGAAATAATTAGTTGTGCCTTCTGAGCAGCCTTTGACACTCTCAAGAGGCATTTCTCACATGTTGAAATTGTGTAATCTGTGTCTGGTTTCTCCCTGCCCCATAGATGTTGGTATGTTTTGATTCAGATGTCACTTGTGTACTTAGTATTAGTTTCCCTAGCAGTTTTCACCTGTGGACAGGTTAACATGGTGTGAGTGGTAGAAGGAGCCGGTCTGGTTTTCCTAGACAAGTCTGTAAAACAAGGCATGAGTTAGCTAATCAGTGAGGTCTTCTAAGTTCTGGGATTCTAACTGACCCCAAAACCTGACCCTTAGGGGCTCTTCCGTGCTGAAGTATGCAGGTTGGTTTTGAGGCTGCTGCTGAATGCCAGGGTCTGCCAAGATCGGCCCAGTTGCCTGCCCAGCATGTGGAGTCAGGGATGCATCCTCAGTCATGTAAAGGCTTGGGGAGACCACACCTGTGTTTCTCTTAAGTATTTTGGATGATGGAGGAGACCTGGAGTAACTGAGTCAGGAGACCTGGGTTGGGCTTCAGACCCTGCTCCTCACTTGCTTCATGTCTCAGGCACTGTTCTGTGTCTTAGTTTTGTCACTATAAAGTGGGGACAGTGGACCTGGTGTGTGCTTCTCCACATTTTTAACCCACGCCGTGTTTCTTGGAGCACACAATGCCAGTCGTCCTCTTTTATGTTACTTGAAATATCAAAAGAAGTATTACAGATGAAAACAAATCCATGGAAATTGGACCTTGAAAGAGAGAAAGCATTCTCAAAATTGAAAGGCACCCATTTTTAACTTTGATTTTGTAACGGCAAATAAGAATGTTGAATTGGCCGGCTTTTTTCTGTCCTAGGTAGTCTGGGCAGTGGAACTCTATGCTGGTCACTTTCAACCCTGAGCCTGATGCTACTAATTTTGCAGTTCTAAGTGCAAAGTCGGCCTGGTGGATGCTTCCCATTATAATATTAAATTTGCCTGTTCATGAAGTGACACCTCACCTCCCCAGTGTCATTTTAACAAGTGGTGTTTTTCACAGAGTGAGCCATGACCCATTGGTGGCCTCTGCATTTAAAAAAAAAAAAAAAAAGAAGTAGAAGTTATTAGTGAGAGTATAAAATACGAGCGTGTAGTAGGAGAAATGTTGAAATTCTGTTTGGGTTGTGTGTATGTCCCTGAGTGCATTTTACAGAAGTTTAAGTTTAAAATGCACTTCTAGCTGGGAATTCATGTCAAAAAAATATGAAAACCACTGAACCTGAGGCTCTCTTATGTCTCTGGAGCCTTGGCAGGCAACATGGAGATTATGAAATGGGTATTTGGAAGACTTTCGGCAGTTTTCCTGCTGCTTCCTGTGTCTTCCTCTTTCACTTGGTCCTCCCGTGGTGGGATGTGAGTGTTCATTCATCCATAAAGGGCCAGGCTGCTGGGACCTCTGGCTGCCCCCGTGGTGATAGTGAGCAGCACGGCGCTACCCAGGGAGGGAGTATAGGGTCTTTGCAGGGCTCTCGACAAATGGTGGCAACGACTTACTCCTCTCCAGGCAGGGCTTGGTGGCAGGTTTTCCATGAGCCTCTTTCTGATGTTCCAGAGTGGCAAGGGGCATTTGGGGTGGTTACAAGAACCCCTGGTCTGGTTAGGAGAGCTCAAGACTTGGGGAGCATGCCAGGTGGGTGGAGGAGGAAATTCCAACCAGATTAGGCACACCACTTGGAGACCATGCTGAGTCCCTGCGTGGGGAAAGCAGGGGAAGAAGGAAACAGGAAAGATTTGGAACCGGTGACCCTTGCACAGAACCTTCTTTTGCTTCGCCTGTCGGGGAAAACCCTGCCTGTGACCCTCCTGCGATGAGCCCTCCTTCCCAGGTCGGTGCACCACTGAGCGTTCACTCTAGGAGCCTCCTGGCTGAGCTTATGGAGTGTGCGGCCAGCCTGCCCTGCTCAGCACAGCATTCCTCAACTTCTGACTTTTCTCCTCTTCCGAGTTCTCTCCTGGCTGCAGGTGGACTGGGAAGAAGGGTTCCAGGGGGCTGTGCAGGCAGCTGCCAGAAGCCCCTTCCACCTACTTCATTGCTTTTCAAACAGTGCAGTGAGGTCCATGCCATTCAGCTTCAAAATGTCGTGAAATCCCAAATTGCTCCAGTTCCTGGAACAAAATTATAATGATTTTTCTTTCTCCCTTCTTGTCTCCTCTCCTTCACATCCCCCTGCTCCCTTCTTTTCTGTCCTTCGATGAGAGGAGATTTTCTTAGAAGGTGAATTTGGAGCAGGTTTCAAAAAAGGGGTATTCATGAACCGCAGTCCTGTTTCTTGTTTCATGAACCCCCAGCCTGCATGCTGATACCCACGGCCATGGCCTGTACCCCTCAGGCGTGCCCCGAGGAGAGTGGGAACGTCATCCATTTTCCTCTGACCTAAATTGGTGAGGGCCAGGCTTGGACGTGGTTTGGAGGCGGGTGCCCAGGAGTTCTGTGAACAGCAAAGAGGGCCTCAGTTTTTTAGTGGGGAGAGGTATTTGGGGTTGAATGGGAAGATTTAATCAGCTACTTTGCTTAAAGCATACAGGGGTGTGCACCTGGGGTGGGGGACGTATGTGTCACCTGGAAGGGAGGAACGTGCTCCCCAGACCTTTTCCTGGCTTTCATTTGGACACATTTCAGCTGCACTTGGCCCTCTCATTAAAGATGACTCTTGTCCCACCTTGGAGCAGTGTCCAATCTTGGGGAATCAGTCTTACTTTCCCCTTTTTTTCAATCTGGGGCTCCTGACCCCCTCTGACTTCAAGGGGTTACCTTTCTCTGACTCATCGGATGAGCTCAGCTGCTGGTGTGGAAGCCCTCAGCGTCTTTCTTGAACCCTAGAGCTTTCTGGCTCTTTTCTTGTCTCCACTAGTATTGAACCTTTTCTTGTGTTTGTTTTTGTTTTTAAACCAAAATACCAGCTGGCATGCTCCATCCGTGCTGGCCACAGACATACTCCTGTGATCATGGTGTTGGCTGGACCACATCACAAGGCATGGCTTTACTGCTCCCATACCCACCTTGAATGTTTGCATCTGACTTTTGTCGTAGGAGGGGTATGTCCAATCTCTTTTTCTTTCTCTCTCTCTCTCTTTTTTTTTTTTTTTTTTTGAGATGGAGTCTTACTCTGTTGCCCAAGCTGCAGTGCAGTGGTGTAATCTCAGCTCACTGTAATCTCTGTCTCCCAGCCTCAAATGATTCTCCCATCTCAGCCTTCTGAGTAGCTGGGATTGCCGGTGCATACCACTACGCCCAGGCTAATTTTTCATTTTGGTAGAGACAGGGTTTCACCATGTTGCCCAGGTGGTTTCAGACTCCTGAGCTCAGGCGATCCACCTGCC